CACAATTTAAAGAGCACCTTATGCTCAATGATATCAGCTTGGGTGGAATGATCCCCATCAAGGATATATATGAGTAGAGGTAGATGTTGTGTTGGTCCCTGGAGAGGCTCCTTTATGATAATAAAATAAATGCAGAATAAAAAATAAAAAACATAACATTTTTAGGGTAAAAACAATATTTATTGTAATATATTAAAAAAAACCCTCTTTCTGATCACTTGAGAAAGCCCAAGGGTGAAACCGGTTGTGACTATTCAGAAGGACTTTTTGATTGGCTTTTATTTCATTTCTTGTGGTATATTACAATAAATATTGTTTTTACCCTAACAATGTTATGTTTTTTTCTATTTTTTTTTCCTTTAACTACAGTGAGAATTTAAAGTTAATTTCAAATTTAAAGGGACTCTAAAGTCACCAAAACAACTTTAGCTTAATGAAGCAGTTTTGCTGTATAGATCATGCCCCTGCAGTCTCACTGCTCAGTTAGCTGTCATTTAGGAGTTAAATCACTGTATTTATGAACCCTAGTCACATCTCCCTGCATGTGATTTACACAGCCTTCCTAAACACTTTCGGTAAAGATTCATCTAATATTTACACTTCCTTTATTGTAAATTCTGTTTAATTTAGAATTTCTTATCTCCTGCTCTGTTAACAGCTTGCTAAACCCTACAGGAGCCTCCCGCATGTAATAAAAGCTAAATTTACAGAGCAGGAGATAAAACTTTTAAAGTAAGTCCCATCTGATTAAAAATGAAAGCTTTTTGTTTTCATGCTGGATATGTCAGTCACAGCCAGGGGAGGTGTGGCTAGGGCTGCATAAACAGAAACAAAGTGATTTAACTCCTAAGTGGCAGAGAATTGAGCAGTGAGACTGCATGAGCATGATCTTTACATACAAACTGATTAATTAAGCTTAAGTTGTTTTGGTGACTTTAATGTCCCTTTAAGGTCGGAGTAGATGAACTACCCCCCCCCCAGTTTGGCTATATTGACCTTATATTTGAAATTCACTTTGAATGCTCAGATTATTGAATAACCCTGTGTATGTTTTCTCTATGATGAATAACAGGTGCAAAGAACTGACTTTATAACAATCAGTGAAAGGGACTAACATGGTGGCGTCCATTTGTAGGATAAACAAAAACGTGGATTTCTATATTTAAGTTTAATTTTCAGTGGACGCACTAATATATAAAAAAAAAATCAACATTCATGAATGCACACGTCAGTCCCCAAAAGCCACAGGTGCAATGTGAGCCAAAAATATTTGATACATTGCCTTGTACATACTTTTGTAAATTAAAGTTGATAAACTTGAGGCATAAGGAAGATTACAAAATCTACAGAATAAATACTTGGCGTTCCAGGGGCTTTTCTGGTAAATATCTGAAAATAGGCACTACATAATTAGCTGATAAAATAAATACAGCCTCTTTATAGGCAGATTAGATGCTGCTTTTGTTAATGTAGCCAAATCATTCCTTATAGATTTAGAAGGATCAAAGATAAGGGTTGAATTATCACCCAACAACATATTAGCCTCAAACAGTTAGTTCTGTCTATCAAAGAAAAAAAACCCTTATATGCCAGCTTAATAATAATTTTAATATGACCCCTTAAGTGTATGTGAGGGGGGAGGGGGAGCATGGCTGACCGAGCGAATGTTCAGACGTGTTCCAGTGAAACTCTGCATTTATTCCTAGACTAAACCAGTAAGTTACTGACTTTAAGACTTTCGGAAGCCTAACCATAAACTCATCCCCCCAGAGACGTAATGGGGCGCAAGCATTACATGTTTTATCCACCTGAGCCTCCGAAATATCCACATATTAGACTATAGGTGCGCCCCTGGCTGTCTGCTTTCTCCTTGACAATTATTAGGTCAAATTACATTTGCACATCCAAAGGATTATCAACACATTCAATATGGTTGGAATTAAATATAGTAAAAAAACTTGGAGTATTGTACACAGTACTGGAGACCGTATCTTCAGAAGGATATTGATACCTTAGAGAGGGTTCAGAGAAGGGCTACTAAACTGGTTCATGGATTGCGGGATAAAACTTACCAGGAAAGGTTAAAGGATCTTAACATGTATAGCTTGGAGGAAAGACGAGACAGGGGGGATATGATAGAAACATTTAAATATATAAAGGGAATCAACACAGTAAAGGAGGAGACTATATTTAAAAGAAGAAAAACTACCACAACAAGAGGACATAGTCTTAAATTAGAGGGACAAAAGGTTTAAAAATAATATCAGGAAGTATTACTTTACTGAGAGGGTAGTGGATGCATGGAATAGCCTTCCAGCTGAAGTGGTAGATGTTAACACAGTGAAGGAGTTTAAGCATGCGTGGGATAGGCATAAGGCTATCCTAACTATAAGATAAGGCTAGGAACTAATGAAAGTATTTAGAAAATTGGGCAGACTAGATGGGCCGAATGGTTCTTATCTGCCGTCACAGTCTATGTTTCTCTGTTTCTATGATATTACCATTTTTTAAATAAAGCAATGCAACCCCTGAAATCAAACGTATTAGGAGGGCAAAAGTAAGAACACCAAAAGCTTAATGGCTCCCACGTCTGCATCTTCTATATTTACATTTCTTCGTTTGACAGTCTGTTTCTCAGAAAGGGGGTAAGCTTTTTTAACATAACCCTCCCTATTCTTTAAAAAAAATAAAAGGGGGGGCTTCATAAATCCTGACTTATTCACTACGAGGAGAGGCCACCTCATCCAGAGAAAATAGAATGCCTTCCAAAATTACTCAAATTCATGTTCTGTGCCTCCATCAGCCATGGTTCCCAATCTGAGCTATTCTTCTTCATTCTTCAAGGAAGCAAACTTATTATAAGAGGGATATTTGAGATCTTTATCACAAAAAACATTTTGTCCTGCTGTTACTGCTATATTTATTCAAATTAAATTATTAGTTATAATTGTAGATGCGAATATCCATTTTGCTCTATATCCTAACTGTTCATGTAAGGGTTAATTTGAATCAAGAATAAATTTGGAATTGTATCTCCAATTCTCAGAAATGTTATTGAAACATGATTTTGTTATGTTCCTGGAAAAAAGATATTTGCATGACATGACATGACATGACATGACATGACATGATAAGGATTCTGGAATGACCTTGTTAATTGTCCAAGATTTCTGTATTTGTAATCATCTGGGTTTTATCCAATATGCATACATTATGTAACATCGAATTATAACTAAAAACAGCTGTTTATAACTTGTGAAAAACAATGTCATTGTCACGCCTATATGGTCATTTTTCCCCCTCCCATCCTGCTATGAAAATGGGTTATAAATATAACTGACGTATGAATACAATTTGAATTGGTTATTGAACACGTCTCTGCTATTCATTTCCAATTTCCAGAGCTCTGTATGAGTTGGCAAATATCCATCATCCACAAAGGGCCCAGGCTGATTTTATCCCCAACAAATTGGTGTCAGAAGTGGGATAAGAAAAAAACTAGAGGTTATTTAAGGGGGGCTACAAATTCTAGAACTAACATGATTTCTCTGCATGTATGTTTGTTTGCCTAATGAGCCCCTTATTTTTATATTTGGTCAAAAGTACTATAAGCCCACTACACTTTTTCATGAGAGTGGGATGTATGATTGTTTATATGATGAGCCCTTTATTTTCATATTGGGACAAAAAGTCACTTCATTCAAAACGTCAAACACCACATTCTTTCTGCCCTGAGTGTTTGTTGCAGAGAATTTATGTTGTAAATTTAGAAGAGAGCAAAATGTATATTTTCAGCGTTCCAACACATGCTTCATATTGTGCTGTAAGCTAACTTGTAGTATTCCAGTATGTAGTATTGTATGTATTCTGTAAATTGTTGTATGGGAATGCTGAGATTTTATTGCTTGCGACCCAAACTGTGAAGAAGTGGGTTTGAAATTTTGGTCATGGAATGTAGGATCAGAAAACCATGGACAAAGGTTTTTACCTGTGTTGATATGACTTTTGGAAACTCAAATTGACAGGTCAAAATTTTGCCATGCCTTTAACATGGAGTAGTATAAATATTTTGAGTCTTTGAGAGTTCTGACAAATGCAGGTGATACCATGTCTGTGTAATCTGGTCCAAATGTTCTATAAGCGTATAAGAGAGAAATTCCATTGACAGGTTTCATATGTCGCAACTGGTTAATGCAAGTGTTATACAAATGTTTAAGTCAAACGTGTTATATGGCCGTACGGGATCCCTTCTTTAAAAAAGAAAAAATAAACCCTTTGGTACCAGAAATATTAAATAAATCCAATACAAACTAAAATTGGTATACCTTACAATAATATGTTCTGAATACAGCTGTTAGAAGTTTATTCTGTGTGAATGATGATTGTCATAAATGTTTGTTTTGGGTACTCATTTTGAAGTGCGCAGTTTAATTGTCATGTATGTTAATGGGTATTTTGCTGTGTTATTTTAAATTATATTTGAATAAGTTTGTCTTAGTATTGATACAGATGAAAATGGCAGCTTAATAATCTATTAAATAACTGGTTTATTATTGAATACTAGCAGGGGCGGACTGAGAGCCTTTGGGGCCCCCGGGCAAAATTAGATCCCAGGCCCTTTGAAGGCCAAATATATGTGCATTAAATAAATGTTAAATATAACTCATAATACAGCATTCCTTTGGATGTGTATATTGTGAAGACCTGTGTATCAATGCATGTTTGTATTTGAGTGTGTGAATGCACTTGTGCATGTCGGGATGACTACATGTGCTTTTTTGTATATAGTGTCTGTGTGAATGCATATGTGACAGGTGACAGTGTGTGAGGGAGAAGGTGACAGGTGGAAGAGTGTGGGAGGTTGTGACAGGTGGCAGAGTGAGGGGGTACCTGGTGGCAGAGTGAGGGAGGGAGGGGTTGAGTGGTGACAGAGTGAGGGGGAGACACAGTGAGTGGGGGTGACTAGTGACATAGGGAGGGAGAGGGGGTGACTAGTGACAGAGTTAGGGAATGGGTGACTAGTGGCAGAGTGAGGGAGGGAAAAGATGACTAGTGGCAGAGTGAGGGAGGGAAGGGGTGACTGGTGACAGAGTGAGGGGATGACTGGTGACAGAGTGAGGGAGTGACTAGTGACAGAGGGAGGGGGTGACTCTGTCACTAGTCACCCCATCCCTCACTCTGCCACTAGTCACCCCTTCCCTCACTCTATCACCTGTCACCCCCTCACTCTGTCACTAGTCACCCCCTCACTCTAGTGACAGAGAGAGGGAGGGTGTGACTAGTGACAGTGAGTAAGGGTGTGACTAGTGACAGTGAGTAAGGGTGTGACTAGTGACAGAGAGAGGGAGGGTGTGACTAGTGACAGAGTGAGGGAGGGAAGGGGTGACTAGTGAGAGTGAGGGAGGTGGTGATTAGTGACAGAGGGAGGAATGGGGTGACTATCACTGTGTCACCCCCTTCCTCACTCTGTCACTAGTCACCCTCTCCCTCCCTCACTCGGTCACTAGTCACCCCCTCTCTCACTCTGTCACTAGTCATTCCCTCACTCTGTCACCAGTCACCCCTTCCTTCCTTCACAGTGACAGAGTGAGGGGATGACTGGTGACAGAGTGAGGGAAGGGATGAATAGTGGCAGAGTGAGGGAAGGAAGGGATGACTGGTGACAGAGTGAGGGAATGACTGGTGACAGAGTGAGAGAGGGGGTGAATAGTGACCGAGTGAGGGAGGAAGAGGGTGACTAGTGACAGAGTGAGGAAGGGGGTGACACAGTGATAGTCACCCCATTCCTCCCTCTGTCACTAATCACCACCTCCCTCACTCTCACTAGTCACCACTTCCCTCCCTCACTCTGTCACTAGTCACACCCTCCCTCTCTCTGTCACTAGAGTGAGGGGGTGACTAGTGACGGGGTGACAGGTGATAGAGTGATGGGGTGACTAGTGACAGTTACCACCTCCTTCACTCTGTCACTAGTCACCCCCTCCATCACTCTGTCATTGTGTCACCCCCTTCCTCACTCTGTCACTAGTCACCCACTCCCTCCCTCACTCTGTCACTAGTCACTCACTCTGTCACTAGTCATCCCCTTCCTTACTGTCACTAGTGACCCACTCCCTCTGTCACTAGTGACCCACTCCCTCTGTCACTAGTCACACCCTCCCTCTCTCTGTCACTAGTCACACCCTCCCTCTCTCTGTCACTAGTCACACCCTCCCTCACTCTGTCACTAGAGTGAGGGGGTGACTAGTGACAGAGGGAGGGGATGACTGGTGACAGAGTGAGGGACGGAGGGGGGGACTAGTGATAGAAGGAGGGAGGGAGTAGTGACAGAGGGAGGTGATGACTAGTGACAGAGTAAGGGAGCTGGTGACTAGTGACAGTCACCACCTCCCTCACTCTGTCACTAGTCACGCCTTCCTTCCCTCACTCTGCCACTAGTCACCCCATCACTCTAGTGACAGAGAGAGGGAGGGTGTGACTAGTGACAGTTAGGCAGGGAAGGGGTGACTAGTGACAGAGGGAGGGGTGACTAGGGACAGAGTGAGGGAGGTGGTGACTAGTGACAGTCACCATCTCCCTCACTCTATCACTAGTCACCACCTCCCTCCGTCACTGTGTCACCCCCTCCCTCACTCTGTCACCAGTCATCCCCTTACTCTGTCACTAGTCACCCCTCCCTTCCCTCACTCTGCCACTAGTCACCCCTTCCCTCCCTCTGCCACTAGTCACCACCTCCCTCTCTCTGTCACTAGTCACACCCTCCCTCTCTCTGTCACTAGTCACACCCTCCCTCACTCTGTCACTAGAGTGAGGGGGTGACAGGTGACAGAGTGAGGGAAGAGGTGACTAGTGGCAGAGTGAGGGGATGACTAGTGACAGAGTGAGGGAGGTGACGACTAGTGACAGTGGGGGGTGACTAGGGACGGGGGGTGACTAGTGACAGAGGAGGGGGGTGACTAGTGACAGTGAGATGGGGGGGTGACTAGTGACAGTGAGAGGGGGGGTGACTAGTGACAGTGAGGAGGGGTGACTAGTGACAGTGGGGGGGTGACTAGTGACAGTGAGGAGGGGTGACTAGTGATAGTGAGGAGGGGGTGACTAGTGACAGTGAGGGGGGTGACTAGTGACAGTGAGGGGTGACTAGTGACTGTAGGGGTGCCTAGTGACAGTGAGGGGGTGACTAGTGACAAGAGGGGTGACTCAGTGACAGTGAGAGGGGGGGTGACTAGTGACAGTGTGGGGGTTACTAGGGACGGGGTGACTAGTGACAGTGGGGGTGACTCAGTGACAGTGGGGTGACTAGGACGCAGACCAGTGACAGGGGGTGACTAGGGACGCAAGTGATCAGTGACAGTGATGGGGGGTGACCCAGTGACAGAGGAGGGGTGACTAGTGACAGTGGGGGTGATTAGTGACAGTGGGGGTGACTAGGACAGGGGGTGACTAGGGGTGACAGTGGAGGGGTAACTAGGGACAGGGGGGTGACTAGTGACAGTGGGAGGTGACTAGTGACAGTGGGGGGGTGACTATGACAGTGGGGGTGACTAGTGACAGGGGGGTGACTATAACAGTGGGGGGGTGACTGGTGACAGGGGGTGACTAGTGACAGGGGGGTGACAGGGGTGACTAGTAACAGTGGGGGGTGACTAGGGCAGGGGGGTGACAGGGGGTGACTAGTAACAGTGGGGGTGACTAGGACAGGGGTGACTAGTGACAGTGGGGGGGTGACTAGGGACAGGGGGGTGACTAGTAACAGTGGGGGGGTGACTAGGGACAGGGGGGGTGACTAGTGACAGTGTGGGGGGTGACTAGGGAGGGGGTGATTAGAGCCTACCTGTGCTTACTCTGATCTCCCTGGCTGCTGCTCCTTCCCCTCGCTGGGCTCTGTGTGTGAGAGGCGAGTACAGGAAGTGATGTCACTTCCTGGCCCCACCTCTCCCATCACACAGAGCACCGCGGGACAGGGAGAAGGAGACCTGGCAGAGAGGGAGAGGAGGTAAAGCTGCCAGGTCTCCATGGGGGGGGGACTTACAGGGCGGTAGGTTGTGGGGCCCCAAGCTGCATCAGGGGCCCCACAACCTATCAATTAAATAGTTTTATTTTTTTTTATTTTGCTGTTCCAGTTGGAGAGATCTTTGATCTCTCCAGCTGGAGCATGGCTGTGCTGCCGGGCCCCTGACTGCCTCGGGCCCTCGGTCCATGACCGAAGTGCCCGAGTGGTCAGTCCGCCCCTGAATACTAGTCCAAGAGCAATATGAGTTGTAGTCTTAAGAAAGAAAAAAGGAGGGAGTCTGTTTTTGTAAATTTTAGCTGATTTCCAAAATTCTGTTGCAGTAATGGACTTCCTGCCAAAATTTGACTTTCCTGTCCAGTTGCCAGGTGCTCTGATCTAACCTTAAAATAGTACTGCTTGCATAGTTTGCAGACATGCATAATGCACAAACATGAGAACCTATATTATGTCTGTCACAGAGTGTGACATTTATTAATTTATTTTGGATTGAGTTAATTACCTGTCCAAGAATATGCTTTTTGTATTGGCATGTCTGCTGGATATCTGCTACATGTTTTCTGTGCTATAAGATGATGTGTGATATTACAATGAGTATGAAGAATATTTAAAGAATATTTGCATGTCATTAACGCAAGCCTTTAGTGTCTTTTTACAACAGATTAAAAAAACGCTGATCAGCCAACAAGAAAGGGGCCCCTGGGAAAGAAAAAGAAAAATATATAATTTGCTTTTCAAAATCGTGGATCCACGTTTCAGTATTATTAGGGGAGTATTTAGAGTTAACGCTACTTTTAAAGTGCATTGCATTATTTAAGAAAAGAAAAATGTGTTGTTATATGGTTATATAACAAGAAAAATTATGGATGTATAGGATAGGTTTTTTCCAAGATTAAGATTCATCTAGTATGCCTCATTGATTATAGGAAAATTATGAAATGGTATTTTTAATAGAGATCAGATAATTTCTTTTGAGGCAATTCTAGACTACTGTATTATATTTGTATTGGTATATTGAAAGCATTTTGCAGACCCAGAAGAGAATAAATAATATAATAATTATAAAAGGAACCATACTATGGGAAGAGGTCACTCTATTAAATTGCTAAGGGGTTAAACTCATTTTTGATAAGCATATGAAATTTAGTTTTTGTGGTTAGAATTTTTGATACTCAATTTGAACTCAATTGAAGTATTACAACCATATCCTTGCAGGTATAGGAAACAGCTGCAATATGATTTTAATATTTGCAATATATTAGTGTTCTGATAATGGAAAAGTTCCTAACCGCATGTCTGTATTACACCTATGACCCAGACTGTCAGTATTGCAAACCCCATATGAAGACTCTGCTTTCACTGTTTATGTATACACCCCTAGACAACTGTGCTATACATGCACAATAAATCTTCAAAAGCCTATTAATATTATATCTGTGTGGTACACAAATAGGTGTACACAAAGAGGGGGTGTGAGTTAGGTCATCTCGACCTTCATATGGAATATGCTTCCTCCTTGTTCACTTTTGGTCAAACTGTTGGTCTGTGACTGGCCCTCTTTGAACTGAATTTCTTGGGAAGATTCATGAGAAAGATACAGCAGGTTGTTTTGGATATAAAGAAAGAGGGAAAAGTATGTTGTATCGGTCACAAAAGGATTGTGATCTTAAGCAGGCGAGACAAAGAAAGTTTGGAGGTGATAGATTGAATCAGAAAAGTTTTAGAGGCAGAGGTAGAGAATTTGATCAAAGGATTTAACTTTTGTAGAGATGGTAACTTCAGCACTGTTTTAATTATGGATAGCAGGGATTCACCCAAAGGTGCTTGTGGTGAACCCGGTTCTCCTGGTCAACCTGGCCCAGCTGGCATTCAAGGACTCCCACCCTGGCAGGTTCCTCAATACCAACCACAACTTTCAAGCTATACCCACACCCAACAACCTCAGCCTAATACACAGATGGTTCATGTTTTTAATACTTTATATATAGTTTTGATAGATAAAACAGTATTAATGCTGGCTCTTAGAGGATGTACAAGCTGAAGTTGGGACCTAGACATTGTTTGCATAGGCTGTGCAATGTGAAATAACTAAAATAAAATAGGATAATAAGTATGCTTAGTCAATTTGTAAAGTGGTATAATAGAGGCATCTGCAATAAATTAAGTGGGTTTCCAAGACCTGACAAGTGAGAGCAACTTAATATAACATATGTCTACAGTTTGCTGTCCCTTCCTTATCAAAGGCCACTTGCAACACAGCAAGACAACTCTTCCGAAACCTGTATTAAACAAAGCACTTTAGAACAATAGTAATTTATTTTGTTTCTCCTATTTCATTCCTAGTTGTTCTGGAAAAAAAAAAAAAATATTGTTTAAGTGGGATAACTGTATGGAGGTTCCAACATGTATTAAAACATGATCACACACATCGGGATCTATAAAAGGTTTCGGTTTCCAAAGATGTTATCAGGGTCCACAAAATTTTATTAAAGTAATTAATTGAGATTATCAAATCAAGGTTTAAGTTTAAGAACAGCATTTTATTGGGAATTATACCAATATGTATATGTTAGTGTTTTAGTACTCAACAAGCATTTATATAGAATGAGTGCTTCTCTCATTCATACAAGGCATTCTAAAGGGAAATTATGTATTAAAATTTTATAAAGGACAAATTCAATGAATTATAAGCAAAACTGAGAGAAGTACATGTTACACTAGTTAAGAGTTTAACTTTAGTCTCTAATTTGAGTTTAGCCTAGATAATTAATTTATTGATGTCGTACTGATCCTTGTGTTTGTATGATTATAGAGACCGTACTGGAGTATTTGTGCTGCCTGATATTTGGGACTACACACCAATCTCTCTGGCTGACCTACTGCCTACTTACCTTTTTTGCAATTAAATCTGTTTGGTCAAAATCCATGCTGGCCGAAGAAACTGAGATGCTTACTTATGAGGACATAAACTAACTTGGAAAGTCCTGAAGATGCAGTGCTGTCTAATGCCGCTATTTCTGTATTACCCTTTCAACAATTGGGGTGTTGCACAGAGTATTGTGGTGAACATCCAGCAAACAGAAGAATTAAGAACTATGTGGAAGCTGACATTGTCTTGTTGTCAGCCATATTGCTACCCTTAGCTATGTTATGGTGTCTAAGATTATGGAACAAAGTTTATGGTGTCTAAGATTCTTTATACTCCTTGAAAGACTTATAATATTTTTCTGGACTATGCTGGACTATTGAACTATTTTGTTATTTTTATTTTTGTAGAGTTAGCCGGAGAGAGAGGAAGTGTTAGCTTACTCAGGCATGGATGTACTATGTGTGTCATTGATGTATGTTAAGTGTACCAAGGATGGATTCCAATGTATTAAGTGTGGATATGACTGGACCATCAAAATAGGGATTTGATTAGGAGGCATAGGACGCAAGGTCATGATTGGGATTATTGCTAGAATTGCAAACTGATTAGAAATGATCTCATGATTTAATATGTAAGTGGGCCTTTTCAAACTAATCAAGAAGTGTTTCCCAATCCCGATACCTGAGCTATTTACTTACATAGTGCAGGTTTTATAAGTCACTAATGCTGTCAACGTGAGGGGATGACATGTCTACACAGTCATGGCCCTCACTTAGAATTTACCCAGATGTGCTTTTTTTCACAATTATGAGTTTTTGCCACTGGGATTTTTGACCTGGCCCAAGTTCACTGGGTGGACTGGTAATCCAAGACCCTGGTCCAAAGAGGGGAAATAGATTTTATTCCCATTTTTGATTATATGTGTTTACATTGTGAATTATAATAATAATATTCCCGTTGTTGGGAATAATACACTTTGCCTGTTTTGATCCAAGGCTCAAGTTGCAGATAACATGATGTGCAGTTAAGATGTCAGCTGTTTGAAATATTTAACTTGTACACTTAAAAGATGTGTACAACAGATGATTACAGAAGCTGAAAATCGACAGCTCGATCTCCTCTTAAAGGGAAAACCTACGGCATAGAGCAAATGGGGGAAATCGAGGTGAAGAAATAAGGAAAGTCCCGCAGACGTGATTAGCACGTCTGAATATACCTCCTTTCGTTTCTCTGCCGCAGGCCTCCCATGGATATTCCATAAGGTAGATCATGATATGATCTAAGAGGGGAATTGTAGATGCGAATATCCATTTTGCTCTATATCCTAACTGTTCATGTAAGGGTTAATTTGAATCAAGAATAAATTTGGAATTGTATCTCCAATTCTCAGAAATGTTATTGAAACATGATTTTGTTATGTTCCTGGAAAAAAGATATTTGCATGACATGACATGACATGACATGACATGACATGGCATGACACGACATGACATGACATGACATGATAAGGATTCTGGAATGACCTTGTTAATTGTCCAAGATTTCTGTATTTGTAATCATCTGGGTTTTATCCAATATGCATACATTATGTAACATCGAATTATAACTAAAAACAGCTGTTTATAACTTGTGAAAAACAATGTCATTGTCACGCCCATATGGTCATTTTTCCCCCTCCCATCCTGCTATGAAAATGGGTTATAAATATAACTGACGTATGAATACAATTTGAATTGGTTATTGAACACGTCTCTGCTATTCATTTCCAATTTCCAGAGCTCTGTATGAGTTGGCAAATATCCATCATCCACAAAGGGCCCAGGCTGATTTTATCCCCAACAATATCTTTCATTAGACCACACCTATTAATAATATCTATAATACGGTTCTTTGAATCTAGCAGTGCGCTTCCTCTTTGCCTATTTTTAGGAGCGCCCAAGGGGGACTTAACAGAATCAGGCTATTTAAGTTGTTTCCTCTTTGCAAACAAATTGTCTATTTATTACATTCCTTTGTTTAGCTGTAACAATCTTATTCTTTCCTATTATTAACCCTTTAAGGACCAAGGACCGCCGACAAGAAACGGTCCTTAACGACCGCACACGTACCTAGTACGTCCCGCACGTCCTTATTACTTACACGATCGCTGCCGTTCCCCCACTGGCGATCGGTGTTTCTTCCGGTCTAGGGGGGACTGCCTGGCAGCCCAGACAGTCCCCCCTCAGCAAATTAGACTCCCATGGGCCATGTCATCGCTCTGAAAGAGCGTCCATAGAGCTGCCCTAAACTGACAGGCAGTCTCCCTGCATCTGTAAAATAAAAATAAAAATTAATAAATAAAAAAAATTTTTTTTAAATAAAAATTATTTATATATATATATATATATATATATATTTACATATATATATATATATATATATATATATATATATATATATATATATATATATATATATATATATATATATATATATATATATATATATATAGTTAATACAATGTTAAACAAAAATCTGCACAACAGTCAAGCCATAAGACTTGCTTTTCCCACAGAAATCCCAAATCTGCAGTGATGTTACAACCGCAAAGGATTCTGGGTGGGCATATGCAAATTAGTTAATTAAATAATCACATTTTTGCCTCATTCCATTTTAAACATGGATTCCTTTTAATCTGTGTTTGCAGTATACAACTGCTTGGAACACAATTTAGGAAAAGATGCAAAACCAGTGAACCACTCATGAACAGCTGTTTCGTTGTTAATGCAACTCTTCAGCATGAGGTTGGTTACTGGTTTGCTTAGTGAGGCTTGGTAGTGCTTGGGAAGCAAAATCCAATTAGGTTATGGTGGGGAAAATTGTGATTCAAAGTGGAAAGGGTTTTGAATCACAATTTGTCCCCACCATAACCTAATTATATATATAATGTCATACTGTGTATTTTTATATTAAATATTAATATAAAAATTCACTTATGGCGGGGCCTGACAGCCAAGATGGCTGGCAGCACTTTCCCAGAGCTCCAGCACTAATGAGCAAAAATAGGCAATTTATGACTGAATCGACACCCAAAGAAGCTCGGGCTGACCGGAGGATGAAGCAGAAACAAGCAGGGACCATAGGGAAACCCGTCCCTTATAAATACGCCAAGATACTGCTCTGTCCGACCATTCGGCCTAGCCCTGAGTGGGGCCATGTGTATGGGGGAGGCGGCCGATCCCTCGGCACAGAACAGGCACCCAACGGCAGGCTCACAACAGCCCTGTTACCCCCCCTTTGGGCCGGTGGGGGTTATCCCGGTCCCCGCTGGGATCACTTACTGCCACACAGCCGACTGAATCCATACAGCCACAGAAAGCACCAAAGTCAGCAGCCACAGTCTCACCCACACGACCCTGGGAGAGCACAGAGAGTCCCACTAACTGCCTCACTGAGCAAGCAGACTTCTCCGCAAGGCTGGACGCGATATTCAACGAGTTCTGGAGAAAACTGGCCCAGCGTCAAAGGCAGCAAGCGAAACCTAAGCAAGACGACAGCCTACCTCAAAGTCCACGAGGTAGACGCAAAATGGCCGCTGCGCCTGGCCTCCGGCTCCCTCACAGCCATCCTCACCGCTCAACTCCCCGTGTCAAACAGCGGACTGTAGCAGGGATCGCCTGGTCCCAATCTGGACTGGGAAGCCACAAAAGAAAGCGCCCTACCCACCGCCCATACACCCAAAAGGTCATCCGGGCACCGGTGTTCCCAAGGGCCCACGATCCTACCGCACATCGCGGGGGGACCCATAGACACAGGGGAATGACTCCCGTCTCAGCCTGGGCTGGGGGAGCGAAGCAGCCGCAGCTCTATCACCACGGAACCACTCGACGCCAGCGGCTATACCAATCCAAGCGGAGCGCCAAGACGGCAGGAGGACTAAACTTACCTAAACCGGTACCATCACTACCATCGACGGGGATCGGCTGATCCTGACACCGGACTCAAAGTTAGACCTCAGTGCCACCTGCCATGGACACTATGAGCTAGGATATGTACACTGAGGGCCCATCTCCTTCACACTCACACCTGATCTTATTCTCTAGCATACCGCAGCCTTAATGTTTATGTGCCAGTCAAGTTGTTCCAGCATGCCAGTTGATGCTCTTACCGGTATCATGTAATGAATCATAGGTCCTGTTGTAAGAATGTTTTGCCTCTTAGTTAACAAGCCAGAATGACCCAGATATGGAGGTTGTCTAATTTCTAGCTCACAAGGCACACATTAATATAACCCCAATGTAAAATCTGCCGTACCCTCACGAATGTCACCCAGCAGCCACTAAGCTACAGCATTAATAATTATAGTTTGGCAAACTACGAGACTTCTTCCTTGACAGGGTTATTGTCAGCCTACTCAATATGTTTAAATTGTGTTAACTGTCATCTCATTATCTGACAACACTTGAATCAGCTTGTTTAGTACTCTTAAAAAAAGTGCGTTTATTTTTCTTATTTGCCGCAGGACTATGACTCCTGAAATGCTCATAATTATTGTCGTGTCGCATAGCCGGTATGAAAATAACCGACAATTGAATAGCTACTATGCCCTAGCCTGAAATAACGGCCAGTAACGTGTACTTATACCTCTCAATGTGTGCATTGTAGAAAGGGGCAGTGTTTTACTTTACTTTACTTTACGTTACTTTGTCATTCTTACCCTGCCACACATCTGTTCCCCCAAACGCACCCAGCTTGGTCTTAAGCACGATTAGTTAGGCATGTAGTAATAAACTACTGCCCTGCCACAATTATAACACACAAGCATTGCTTCTCCTGACATATAACTGTTATAATCCTCTCGATGTTTTGCTTATGGTTATCTACTTTATTATAAATACGCTACTCTTGTTAGTAATCCTATTGAATGCTTAAATAATATAAAATGAGGCAGTCCCTCATAACACCCAGCATCATTATCTTCATTTTATCTCACCGAATCTTACACGGACATATCAACTGTTTAGTTCAGCATGTTAAATATAAAAATTGTGCAAATTATCATGCCACTGTCTACCTTGTATGTAACTTGAAATACGCTGTTGTGGCGTTTGTGGATATATTGTGACCATCTGCACATCAAAAATAAAGAATAAAAAAAAAAAAAAAAATTCACTTATAATTAAATTACAGGTGTGTGTGTGTGTGTGTATATATATATATATATATATATATATGTAAAATATATAATAACTATATATATTGTATATGCATATTATTATAAAATTTAAATAAGTAAATAAAAAATATAAAAATTAGAATTAAATTTTTATATATATATATGTATATATATATATATATATTTATTCTAACTGTATTTTGATATTAATATATATATATATATGTATACATATATATTTATATCAAAATACACTTAGAATAAAATTATATATATATCTATGTGTATATAAAAATAAAACAAAATATATATCCATTTACATAAATAATTTCATAAATATACATGTAGATTTGAAATATATAAATATATATTAAAGGTGCAGCACTTCAGTAATCCCTGACAAGGTATATGTGGAGAGAACCAGAGAAGAAATAATAGTGTAGTATTTAAAACTGTAGTGGTGATAGGTAAAATAAAAGATGTGCACTGCACTCACACTTTCCTAGAGCTTCAATACAGCTCCAGTGTATGCACCTGGGCGGAATAATCCCCACCTATTGATCAAGTGCAGAGGTAATTCTTCGAATTATAGGTGTGGTGGGGGTATCCTCATAAAAAATAAACAAATAAAAATCGTATATGCTGAAGTATATGGAGCTATGAATCAAGGGTAGGTAAAACCTATAAAATGTACACTCACGTGTAATGGAGCCGTAAAACCTGGCTCCTCTGATAGCGCTTGAAGTGGTATGATCCCCACTGAAGGATACAGGTGTAAATTTTAATTCTTCCGTACATATATATGTGGAGATAAACAAACAGAACCACAATAGTGTACACCGTAAAAAGGAGTGTAAGCAGAAATAAATAAGTTAAACCTACCCACATGCTAAAGAGCAAGTTTCGGTTAGCTCAATCCAAAGCTCTTGGGTGGTATGATCCCCACCAGGGATATAACTCTAAATAATCCAACAGCAGCAAAGTTAGTTCCAATTAAAAAATTACTTTAATAATAAAAAAAATAATAAAAGTAATACAATATAAAAAAAAATAGTGATAAAAAGTTATAAACAATACACTTAACACGTTTCTCCTTGGATAGGCTTTATCAAAAGTGTTTTACAGAGTAAATGGGTCCTGAGCTGCTTAAATAGGGTTAGGATTTTAAAAATAACGGTTTTGTGATATCATGACCATGACCATTTTTTTTTTCTTTTTTGCTCCAACAAAATTACATCTGCCAGGATAAGCTAGGGATCCAAAAAAATGGTGGACAGATAATTTGTATAACAAAGATAGAAGGGGCAGTAGCTCCCTCTACAGGCAAAAAACTGAAATAACACATATACTAAAATAAATAAGAGGAGCTACTGCCTCTATAGACATAAAATAAAAATAAAAAATGAAGATAAGACACTAAAACAACTTCTATTAATAATGAATAATATTATCTATGCATAGACAATATTAGATGAAAATAATAAGTGAAAAGGACCAAAATAATACAAAAAAATGGAGTACATGGTTATAACTGAATCCAAGAGCATCTTTGTAAATACAAATAAAAGTTTAAAAATATACTTAATATAATGACAAATCTAGATGATACAGTCTGAAGCAAATTAAATAATGAAAAATAAAAAAGTGTAATTCACGTAAAAAAATAAAATAAAATTACTGAATTTACAACACATAAATCATATATGTAAAATATAATAAGTGCATTGAAAATAATAATAATGTAAAATAAAAAGAAAATAACAATGAGTATAAAACAGAGGGTAAAATTGAATACAGAGCTATAGTCATTAAAAGTTTAAAAAAATCAATGGAAGAGGAAATGAAATGATGAGATGGAAAATGGAATAATAAGATTAAAAAAAAAAAAAGGGTTATAAAAAATTGTACAGATCAAAGTCTGAATTAAGCCCGGTGGGAATTAAAGTTTTTAGGTAAAAGACCCATTTCATTTCACACTACCCAAGGATTTTTGTAATTTTGCCACCTCTCCATGGTAAAAGTGCAAACATCTATAGCATAACATTTCAAGAATATAGGATTTTTATTGTGTTTTTTGAATTGTTTGTACACTTATGGAAATGTTTGGACACTGGTTAGCAAACCCTTGTAGAATATTCCTGCGATGTTTGGCTATCCTGGTTTTAAGTTTTCTGGTTGTCATGCCTACATATTGGAGACTGCAAGGGCACTCCAATACGTAAATTACATTTTTAGTATTACTAAAATTTATTTTGTATTCTTTGTTAGTAAAATTTTATTTAAATTTAGTAGTACTGTTACAGGAATTATCAGTGTATTTGCATGCCGAACACATTTTAAATTTGAAGAAACCTTGTTTTTTTTTTTGTTTGTTTTTTAAAGTGTTTTTTTGTTTAGTGGATATTTTTGTGTAATTTGTAGTTAGGAAGGATCTGAGATTAGGAGCTCCTCTGAATATGATTTTGGGTTTGGACGGTAGGATCTTTCTCAGTATATCATCCTCCTTAAGTATATTCCAATGTTTATTGATAATTTTTTTTCACTTGGTTACTTTTGTTGCTGTAATTAAAAATGGTAAGCACTATGTCTTGTTTTTGTTTCGGTTTATATTCCAGCAGGGCATTTCTGTCAAGGGTACCTATATTTTTGATTAGAGTGTCTAAGGTGGTGGTATTGTACTTCTTTTCAATTAATTTATCTTTTAGTGTCTGAGCTTGTGTATTAAAAGTAATGCTGTCTGTGCACTTTCCTTTTAATCTTAAAAACTGACTTTTTGGTACACCATTCAGCCATGGGACATAGTGTCAACTAGTGAGGTCAATGAAGGTGTTATTAAGTACTTTTTTAACAAATGTGCGGGTTTTTATATTATTATTTTACACATAAGTTTCAAGGTCTAAAAAATTCATAGAAATTTTGCTGTAATTAGAGCTTAAGATTATACCTCTGGTGTTTAAATTTAAAAAGTTTAAAAATTCATCTAAAACTTTCTCTGCTCCCTTCCAAATAAAAAACAAATCATTAATATAGCAGTGATAGAGAACCAGGTTCGCCACCCAGGTATGCCCCCCCCAATATAGAGGAGTCTTCCCAGTCCACCATAAAGAGGTTGTCATTGCTAGGGGCGAACCTAGTCCCCATCACCATACCGTTTTTTTGCAGGTAAAAAGTATCATAAAACCAAAAATAATTGTTTTCTAAAATCAACTGGATACCCTCCACAATAAAATCAATTTGCATTTTTGAGATATTATTTTCTTTTTCCAATATATTTCTTATTGCGTTACAACCAATATTGTGCGGGATGATGGTATATAGCAACTGCACGTTGCTGCTTACTAAAATGTAATTATCCTCCCAATTTATATTTTTTAAAATTTGAAGGAAACCCATGCTATCCCCTAGGTAAGATTTGGTATTTATAAATGGTATAGACGGGAATTGTATATTAATGTAGGAATGCTTTGAATTATTTAAAATATTGTTGTTTTTACATTTGTCAATGAGGAGTAATAATTTATTTTTATGATATTCTTCAAATGGTTTCTCTTAATTAAATTATAAGAGGAAGGAGAGACTTTTAATTGGTTGGGGTTCTGTCTTTTAAAAAGTGTGTGGTGGTTACTCTTTTTGTTTGGGGGATAGATAGTGTTTGGAATTCGTACTTATCATAAAGTTAGTGTGGTAGTAATTGTCCTTTTGATATTTTTTATAGTGTTGGGAAGTATGTTGTGTTCATTACTGGGAAAATGGTAATTTTGTGTTATGTGGTGGATTTGGTGAGTATCTTTGTATATTATGAATCTAGAATGGCTGTGAAATGTACATGAGAAAAACACAAACACATAAAATATTACAAGAGATAAACCATCACCACTGCAGAAAAAATATAAATCCTGAGATGCCAATTGTACCGTCCATGTTGAATACAGCAGAGCTCTTCATAGCTCTTTAAAGTGTGAGTGCGCATTCATTATGTGTTTTGCTGTTTATAATACCTAAAATACATTTTACACTTTTGTATATTTCTTTTTTTTGTTTTTGAAATATCCAGCACGTTATAATGGAAGGCTTCTTTTCACGTATGTATAGAACAACTACTCTATAAAAAAAGATAACACTAAAGGGTTAAAGCTATTTTAGCGCAGTTCATCAATTTTAAATTGAGTTTTTGTTTGTAGTCCGGATGGTCTCTTATGCAGCTGCATGGTTTTGCCACATTAGGTTTGGGACAAATTGGACTTTAGTGAATAACCCAGTAATATTCCACTGCTTCATGATTAAGTTGGTTCACAATTTTTGTTGTATTGTTTTCATTACAACAACAAAAAAGTAATAATCATAATAATTTTCATTAATAGTACATTCTTCCAAGAGCCCTGTCATTTAGCTAGGTGGTTTTTGTTAAAGGGTTATTCCTGCCCCAAAAAAGTGAAGGCCAAGTTCACCCCCAAACATCCATCAGCAGAGGGGTTAAACTCTGTATGTGTAGTGTTACAGAGAGAAATGCTGCACATACAGACCCCAGGCACCATGACCACTTTAAATTATGGAGCCTGGAGCAGCCCTTTAAACTGTACAGAAGCAGCAATATTCTTTTTATTCACAGTGATTTCTTTGTGTTGTCCTCCCATGCACACCACTGTTTGTGGTCTTGATTACTTGCATACGCTAGAGTAAAAGATACTCCAGCAGTTCCTTTGTTGGAATATTCAATATTTTTGCAATTGTTTTGTAACCCTTTCCAGCCTAATGAAC